TACAGTCAGCTTCAGTGGTGAGTGTTAATCTCCATCTCGCAGATGGGGAGACTCGGAGTGGCCGACGGTCTTGCTCGAGGATTGCGTGAGGCCAGAGTGCATGCTTTGAGTCAGCGCCATGGCCTCGTCTCCGTGGAGGAGCTGGCTGGAGGGATTCTGCCAGGCTCTGAACCCTGCGCCCAGGGACGCTATGCCTCCTTCCTGCCATCTCTCAAGATTGGATTCCAGCACTGTGCAAATAGCAAGATTCATTATGGTCCCAAAGTCTAAATTATAATTAGATCATTCATGCCAAGTGGCATAATTTTTCAAGATGGAATATCTGAAATACTTGAATTAAATGAATACGGATCTTTGTGTGTCCGTGGGCAAGTGTAGAGCTTCAGTTAGTTTTCTAAGGTTTAAAGTGAGAATTTTGTGTCTTACAATTTCTAAAGTCTGTTTTGGTGCTAATATGACCACTTTTGCTATTATGCTGGAATTAAGTAGCTTCCTGGGGACTCTCAAAGATTGTAAAAGTCTGTTTTGGTGCTAATATGACTGCTTTTGCTATTATGCTAGAATTAAGTAGCTTCCTGGGGACTCTCAAAGATTTTAAGCATGATACACATGTGGACCTGGACAGGAAATGTGACCACAGTTTAATCGGGGAGCACTGGGTATCCCCCGTTGTAAGGATGAATTTCCCTGTTGGGCAATGGTTGCCTTTATTTTAATTATTCTTACACTTGATACTTGGAAAGACATGATTTCATATTGTTCTAATCTAATGGGATGTGGCTCCACACATTTTGAGTAGGTTTTAAACCACAGAACAATAAAACATTTAGCAAATTATGTTTGAAGGCATCTGCACACACTGCTCCTCGCAGCTCTGAGCCAGCCATCCTGCTCCCATATGGGTGACCAAACGCATCAACTGGATGAAGCAGGCTAGGGTCTGGCATCCATAAGCCACTCTGGCATTGTTATTTCCACATGGCAGGACAGGCTGGTGGAGGCTGGGTCTGATGTCTCGGTGGGGGTGTGTGTACGTGCCAAGTACTCTGCCGTCACCACCTCCTTCAGCCCACTGGTTGTGATGAATCCAGCCAGGATCATCAGTGCTGCTGCACGTCAATCCCAGTGCAGTTTCTCTGTCCCCTGCCTTCCTACTGATGTGCCTTCACCTTTCCTGGTGAACAGAGGAAGAGCAAGATGCCAGGTTTCCAGTGGATAGCTTTGTGGGTTTCTGACAGTTATAAGAGTGGTTGGTACTGGGGGGAGGTGGACAGAGGTGATGAACTAAAAAGGGGTCAGAGGCTTTCTATGGACCTTGTCTCCCAATATTGTTATCCTTGCCTTCCCTTTCAGAGCTATACTTTAGAAATTACTCACTTGGAAGTCCATGAAGGAGGGAAAATGTGACCAGGCTGCAGAGGTCAGCCGCATTTCTGTGTCTCCAGGCAGTCTGCCCCCGTGGGGTTGTGTTCCTGAGGAAACGTTTTCTCTTTCCATCTGGCCCTTCATCTAGTCCTCTGCCGTGACTTATCGTTGACTTGGAAACCTGGCCACTGTTTCTACAGCTAGTTTCTGCAGAAGAGAGGCTGTGGCTAGATGCAACTGGGGCTGCCGGCAGCCCTGGGCACTGCTGGGTCCTCATCATGGGCCACGCAAGGGGTGGCTTCTTACGTGTCTGGATGCTAAGGCATTGGGAACAAGTGGCCCTGGAGAGGAAAGGCAGGTGATTTAGAGACCAGGAATACTTTGTTTGAAATCCAGTCACTGCCACCTAAGGCACATCTATAGGTGCTCGAGTATTTAAGCTCTGTGAACCTCAGTTTTCTTACTGGCAATGTGGGACTAGTGAAGAGGGCTGCTTCAGACTAAGGCAGGAATAATGTAAGTCTCCTAGACTCCGAGAGTTAGCTAGGCATGCAGCAAACATGTTATGGCAGCAGCTGAGCTGCAGAAAGCTGGTTCTAAAATGCTCGTGGTTTCTGTCAGGAGTGACTTCCACCTGTGAGCACTGCTGCTTCTCAGACTGATTTTGCCCTCTGGGGGTTGAACTCAGGGCCTTGAGCATGCTCAGCATGTGTTCTGCCCTGATGCATTTTTTTTTTTTTTTTTTTTTAAACAAAATCTCACTGAGTTGCCCAGGCTGAACTCAAACTTGTGATCTTCCTGGCTCAGCCTCTTGAGTAGCTGGGATTACTGACATACATCACCATGCCCAGCATCAGATTTATTTAAGAGAAAACAAGTCTTATTCTTTGCACCACATTCGCATTGAAATGTAGGGATTCCGGCATACCATTCTTTATCTTGGGAAAGTACAGCCAAAACTCTGGGGATTGTGAAACACACTGGTAACTGCTAAAGAAGAGTGACCCTGACCTAGTGTAAACATATTCCTTCACAAAATCTCCAGCTGCTTACAGTTTGGAAGAAAGCACCTGTCACAGCCTCCCTGCTGTGGCTCTCTGGAACAGACAGGTTCCTGTTTTGTGGTGCAGCTGTAGATGTGCTTGTGTTGGATTTCATACCTAAAGGTTGCACTCGATAGCAGATACACAAGCACCTTCATAGTGTCCACACCCAGACAGTGCTCACAACGGGAGAAACAGGCACTGTGGAATTAAAGCCCGTACAGCTTGGAGCTTGAGCACTTGAGCACTTGTCCGCCGTGTGGTGCCAGCAGAGGCACTTCTCTGGATGCTTTGTGGAGTTTTTCTGTATGGAGACACCCCTAACTATATCTCAGGGCATTCTTTATAAACCACTTAACATAGCAGGGGTACTGGCAGCAGCAGAACTACACACAAGACTTGAGAATAATGACGAAAAATTACTGGGTCATTATTCTGTGTTAGGAGCAAGGGCTGGTGTGCAGAGGAGAGAGGGTGGCCAGGGGACAAAAGCCCGGGTGGGTTCCAGTCCATGGACGCGCCGGGCCAGTCCCGTGAGCCCTCACATCTCACCTTCCTGGAGGGAAACATCCTGTGTTTGAAAGATAGAGGGCCCATACCTTGAAGGGGCTTCGCCCACCAAAGCACGCTCCATACAGTTCATTCTTTCATCCCTGTTGTTCTTGCTCGGCGCTTTCCGTGTTCACATCCACCTCCTCAGCGGTGGGTCAGTTGCTGCACCTGTAGCAGTGCCATCAAGCACTTACGATAGACAGCAGATCATCCCGGTTAACCTGGGTCATAAAAATGCTTGCCCAAATTCCACAGTAAACTTGCTGTACCATCTAAATTCGTTTGCCAATACAAAACTATTTCTCTTACATGGCAACAAAGTTAGTCTGTGGTAGCGCTGTGTGCATTTACAGATCATTCTTCTGTGTCCCCACCCACTAATTTGAATGACTCTGTTTATTTCTTTTTCCTTCTTCTGCTCATGGTGGTCTCAGTGTACCAGGACAACAACCCTGTCCTGGTACAACCTGGCAAATCTTGTCCAGATTTAGGACCGTGGTACTGGAGCTTCACTGTTGCAGCCGTGGAGTCAAGTGACCCAGCTTTCCTTGTTTTCCGTGGCTAGCTTTTAAGTTAGCTTTTTAAACATCAGCTTTTTCGTGTCAGCTTTTCTGTTTGAAGGAAAAAATTATTAGCAAACCATTTGTAGTGATCCAGAGTAATAGATGTTGACTTGGCAGTTTTGTTTTGTGTGGCTCCTTTAAACATTTCACAAAGTTGTTTCTCCATGCTAAAACCACAGCGGAAGCATGAAAAAATTCATTTTATTATTCTTGTCGATTATTTAAGCCATTTCCCTTGTTGCATAAGATAGCCAAAATGCCCTAAAATGCATAATAATATATACTATAATGGTATGATATAATAAAATGTAGTATCTTATAGATAACTTTTTTGGTATCATCTTAAGTTTTTCCAGAAGCATAAAATCAGAATTGCTAAGTGCAGTCTTTTTAATCACCAAAGATTATCATTTTGTTACTGAAGACAACTCACTGCCCAAAACTTCCAGATGTTTAACCTAATTCCTGGTTGTTTCTTTACCAGCAGTGAAAAATCACATAACTTTCAGCCCCAATTAATTATCCTTTCAATAAGTCTGATAAAGTGGCTTGGCATTAGTTTTAGGACCAGACATCATGTATTTAGAGTCAATTTACAATTGACTCTAAATTGATATGATATTTACAATATCATATCTTGGTAAACTTACTTGACGTTGTGGTTTAAACTTGTCCAACTAGTTGAATTATATAAGTAGATAGAAAGCTCTTACAGAATGCTTCCAAGTTATTATACCTATTAATGTATTTTTTAGCTTCCATGTGGTGATTTCCAATTGTAGAAATCCAAGAGGGACCAAACAGTGTTATTTCCAAGACCTTATGCAGCAAAATATGTAAAAACATAGAAATATGTCTTTTCAGAATTTTACACTTACGTTGCTAAATCACCCAACCATTTGAAAAGATTTTGATTTTACAGGCTAGTAGATATTTTGAGATTTCTCTCCCCAGGTTCAACTGGTTCTCAGCCCTAAGCAAAACTAGACCTGTAAGTGCCAGGTGTAGGTTTTGAGCAAGCCTGACCATGGCTGCCGAGTGATGCGGTTGGAGCCGGCTATGTGCTGTCAGGAGCTAGGAAGGCAGGTGTGCATGAGCCCATTAAAAGTTAGCATTGGATGCCACCTTCCCAAACAGTGTCTGCTGGAGTCCTTTCAGTCTGTCTGTACTGAAGGAACTAAGGTCCGGCAAGGTTAGTCATTGGCAGCATCACGCTTGGAGCCTCGGTCCACTGACTTCCAAGACAGGACTTCCTGAGCATTCCAGCAGGAGGGCAGAGATGGCCACTGCACAGCCTGGTTCTGCCTGGTGCACTGGAAGAAGATATGGCAGTGTAGAGTCCAGAAATCCATCAGACACTGAAAAATTTGCTGTTGTATTGACACCATCTCTTCTTTAGGAATTGTCTTGGGAAAAAAACTAGGAAAAGTTATTCCGTTGACCAGTGATGACCGCTTATTGTTCCTTTTATCAACAGGCAAGATGATGAATGAAGTCCTGGCAGCGTCCCGCGTCCCAGGCCTTGTAGAAATAACTGAGACAGACGTGCTTCAAAGTTCTAATGTGCATCACATCGGATCTTGGTTAAGGAAGCGTTAAAAGGAACCCGCCATTACCTATTGAGAAGGCTCTGTGCTCTCAGGCATTTGTTTCTGATTGAATCCAGAGGTTGCAAGCATGCCTCCCTGTATTACCTGTTGGAGCAGGTTTAATTTTATAAATTTTAAACACAAACTCTATGAGTTTCTAGTTCATAATTGTTCTGTTTGAAGATCCACTCAGATGAACAGTATTGCATCTGTAAGAGATACTCACCTCCACAAGCCCAGAATTGATTGGAAAATCAGTGGCAACAAACTCCCATCTGTAGCATCATCCAGTACCAGTGACGGAAAGGACAGAGTGCTTGGAATCCCTTGGGGAGAAGTCATGTGTTGGAACTACAGATGACTGGGACCACAGCTTTAGTACACCATGGCTTTTTAAAAAACACAGTTGCACATTCTGTGTTGTTCTTGACCAGTGGCTTTAACCCATTATTATTATCTCCCTGGATATCATCAAACATTTTTGAAAGCCTAAAAATTGCATTAAAAATGTTTTTAAATGCAGCATTGACAAAATCCAGTGTTTGATATAGTCTTCTGAGTATTTGACCCCAGCCTTCCTGTCCTGTTACTGCAAACAGCAGGTACCCAGGTGGTAGACTAGAAGCCTTGTGGGAGAGTAAGTAATGACAGTGAACAGGCATACCACATTGTATCTTAAACATACTTTATAAGTACATTTCTTATTTGCTTCTTATTCAGGCAGAGATTATAAAAGTTTGCTACAAGTATCCAAATTAGGATTTGTGTTTTGGATCATCAGTGTTCACAATACCTGCAGAGGAAAAAGAATGGAAATATTCAAATATGCATACCCCTTTACACTTAAAAGAATATTTTTTATCATTCTTTTGTTTTGGCTTTGTTGAAAATTAAAGTGCTTGGAATGCTGTAATTTGTGGTCTCTTGACATTTAATCAATGAGAACCCAACACCTTCACATTATGCTGTCACTTTGGACATTCATAATAAAAATTGAAACTGATTTTGGTTGCTAGTCATTTATTTTGCTTTGTAGTTTAGTACATCTTTTGTGCTTCTTGTTTGCCTAGTAGGTATGCAATCTTTACCACCATATATACAGATGTAGAGACAAATACATAGTTCAGCCCTTTCCCTGTATCTGTCATTGAATCACTGACATTTTCTAAATTGGAACAGCCACTCCTGTTTTTCTTGAAAGGCTAAAATGTTTCTAAATGCCAAGGGCATTTTGAATATTCATTCTACACTATGCATATGCAATATTCATTCTACTTACCATTAATTTATGAATCAGTCAATCCTGAAGATTGAGCCTCAGCTTTCTGGAGTTTCTGCTTGTAATGTATTTTCTATGAAATAGTAAGCAGGGAACTGGAGAAGGCTGTGGCTAATACAGTGGCCCTATAAGCATTTCAATGGCATCTTTGACTCTGTGCCCAGTGTGTGGGAGTACTGTTTAATGTATTCTATCATATCATAGTAAGATAGAAACAACTCCAAAGGAGTCTAAACATATGAGTCTTGTGTAGAAAACTTTGATCTTGCTTGGCACTTCTACCAAATTTGATTTGACATAAGATCCCTTTCCTTTTCTTCTTTTGTAACGAAACCTGCATCTGGCAGGTTTACCACCCATCTAGCTCCCTAGCGCCCCCTTGCAGCCTTCATCAAAAAAGGAACAGCATAGATTTGAGAGTAACCAAGTGAGCATTCTAGTACATAGAAGAGCACATGATTTGGGAACACTTTTTTAAGGCAAGGTCTTGCTGTGTTACCCAAACTGGCCCCGAATTCCTTGGCTCAGGTGATCCTTCCACCTCTTCCTGCCTCACCCTCTCAAGTAGCTGAAACTATAAGCGTGCACTACCGTAACTGGCTTAGATTTTGGAACTCTGAAATTGGGGGCAAAAAAAAGAGTCTGTGTTTTTTCCCATGGGTGGGGTGGAAGGAAAAAGGGAGAATAGCAAACAAATAGTCTCATTCCTTCGGGTGCATCCGCAGTCAGCACTTAGCTGGGGGTGCTTTTTCTAATGATAAGGTGCATACACAGGGTCCATCTGTTAGCAGTGTCATCTTTTGAAAACCCGAGGGCCCCTTTATAGGGGCAGAGGTCGGTGCTTTTAGGTTGGATGATTCCCTTTCAGATACACCGCCCCACCATGCATGCAGACCAGGCCTCTGTGTCGTGGCCCTCAATATTAGCAGCTCACACTTGTGCCTGCCTTCAGTTCACGGCAAAGGAAAGCTCTCACAAGTCTTCCTTCTCTAGGGACTTCAACACGGTGAGCTGGCTTTTAAAACAGTGTTGGGGGACTTTGATACACTGAAGCTGGTTGGTATTCACACAGTGAAAAGAGTCCTTGATATGGGTACAGTATTTGGGTGTGTAAATGCTGGCTTCTCACTTGAATTCCCAGGACATCCATCTCGTTCAAATGAGATGGGTCGTCTTAAGCAATTTCTTTGTGGTTAATAAGTTCTTCATGTAACAAAAACAACCTGCTTCAGAACAGCCTCCAAAAGGAAGTGCACATAGATGATTACTTTTGGCCAAAGTCGTTTGTGTTCTACACAGTTTAAGAACATAAGCAGTTAAGAATGTAGAGTTTGATGCTTAAAAAGGAAGCCTCTTTCCAGTCATTATTAGTGATTTCCCAAAACCCACTGCTTCTCCATCCATTTGGTTAAAATTGGGAAACATTCCACACTATCACGGTGACATCGAATCCAACATTCATAGGTGCATCTCTCAGAAGCGTGCTGGCACAGTGTTTAGTCTCTCACGGTTATTGTTTTGTAGATATTTATTACATGACTTAGGATCTGTGAAAATGCTTACTCTTATTTCTTCTGAGCACACTTCTTTCAAAACATTTTTTTTAATGTAGAAAAACACTCAACCCATATGCCAAGCAGAAATAAAATGAAGACCATTTTCAAACATTTCTATGTTGTAGCAAGAATAAATTATTTCCAACCCAATAAGTGCCTATAGACAATCTAGGAAAAAAGATTATAAGCTACCCAAAACATGCATGCATTTTAGTATGTAAACTTTCCATACAAGATCAAATACCATCCTCAGATTCAATTTCTAAAAAGGCACAATTCATAAAATTAATAAAAATTTAAAAATACACTAAAAGGTCCATAGTCCTCAAAACAACAGTGGCTCTCAGATGGCTGAAATGGTCAGCCTGGATAGTTGGAAGACACTGAATATATCTTTCATAATTTTGTCCAGTTGGTCATAGCAAGGGGAAGAATATTGAGCAGAAGCAATTGCTAGTCAAAAGACTTTTTTGAACAGCTTTGTGAAAGCTGAGCCAAATCTATCATCTTGCTGGACTTTTCACAGAGCTACATTGAGACAGAGTTCCCACGCTCAGCGTCACCCAGGCCAACTCAAGAGCCACAGCCACCAGACACAGAACGTGCACTTCCTGCTTCTCATGGCATCATTCGAATCCTTTCTTTACTGACAGGAAAAAATGAATAAAAGGGAAGAAGAAAAGTAGTGTCTTTCTCAGAAGTGTCCACATTATCAGGAGTTTTATTTGCCCATGTGGATGTAAATGTACGTCCACATGTACCCTCTATGAACTGGAGGCACAAGCAAAGTGACTAGACTCTTCTTGGGCCATAAACATGCAAAAGTCCCAGGATAAGGCCCGGTTGGGGACAGCTAGGAGACCTGGGAACCCAGAGGCCAGCCTGCCTTCTGCAACAAGCTGGGCCAGCTGTGGTGGAGCCCTAACTGCTTCCTGTTGGCACCAGCTCCTGTACTTGGCTTTTGAGGAGAATGTTGCAAGTCTGTCTTTAAACCAATATCCCTTCATTCATCCAAAACGTAATTTATTTAGTGCTTTCTAAGTGCCCAGTACTGTGCTTGAGGTCGGAGAGGGAACTACAAATTAAAACCATGCCTTTTTGTGTCACTTGTGTCCACGTATTAAAAAGGACTACAGGGATGCAGAGTATATTAAGCAGAAGATGAACACCTGAGAGGCTCACAGAGGCAGATGTAAATCAGTGGTTTCCCTAAAAATGACTTCATAGCTCATTTCCACTACAGGAAAGGGACAGCAGTTCTTATAGTTTATCCTTTTGCTCTTTCCCAATCAGTAATGTGTTTACTGTTTATTTGGAGTTGACAATATTGGGATTATGTTTGCAATAATGAACTATTTCTATTCAAAGTGTAATATCGTCAAGGACTTTTCATCTGATTTCAGTGGCCTAGCGGCAAAGCTCCCTCCAGCAAGTGTGTTCTCCTGCTGGAACTCCACGCAGGAGAGCTTAGACAGAGTCCCCCTTTTCTGAACTCCTAGATTTTAGCCAGGATGTAAGTCCTGCTCTCTGAGATGCTGCCACTGAATCTCAGAGATAAGTGGAGAAGTGATAAGTTTCAACTATTAATAGATGGAGGGAAACCCTCAAATACTTTCAAGCACAATGACTTTGACTTCACAACCTTCAGAAAATTATAATTAAAGCTATTTCTCCTATGAAACTTACATGAATTCAGTTTCTTGAGAAATCTCCCATATATAACATATATCAAAGATAGACTGCAGCAAGACAGTGGGATGGGAATAGATAGACAGTTGTTCTTGGCCCACATTTTCTCTGGAGTTGGATTTTCCTAGGTATACAAGCCACAAGGAGGGTTTCTTCAGATCTCTGTCACTATTGACAGGAGAAGAAAGGTTGACTGGATGTTTGCAGTCTAGTTGTACCTTGTTTGTTAAATACAAAAGAGGAAAAGAAAGCCAATAAACAACCCATAGGTTGTGGATTCAGTTCACCATTAGCTCTTCCCTTTACCAAGAGAAAATGGGCATCAGAGCTTAGTGCGAGAACTTCACTGGAATATGAGATTTGTGAGACACAGGTTTGCTGTGGAAATTCCAGTATTTCCACCCACTGGTAAACGTTGGACAGTACGTGTTACTTAAATAATCATAAGCATGACCACAACCAAATCATTTTCTAATTACCTTTTCTTGGACTTCAGCCAAGACATGAGGAATGACATTCCATTCCACTAAAATTCTGTTCACATCCCAACTAACCTTGGTAGTCTTAACCAGACCATCAAATTCTTCAAACTGAGGATCCACAAGATAATATCAGAACAAACTATTTTCTAACAGCGGGGATTGAGCCTTGCGCCCCCCCCCCCATTGGATCTCCAGTTTGTAAGTAATTTGAGCACATGTATATTTTTAAACATTCTTACTTCGTAAATTTTTATTAGTGCATGTTTGCAGCGTGTAATGGTCACAATTCACTGTGGGTAGTTGGTCTGTGGACTTAACACGTCTTAATTCTTTTTATTTCCCCTTCCCCTCCTCTTCTTCCTCTTTCCTTCATCTCTAGATTCTCTTCCCATTTGCAAAAGATCCATCTCACTGTTTCCTTTTATCTTTTATTTTGCTCTCTGTTTATACTTTGGGTCTGTCATATAAGAGAAACCATGTAATATTTAAGCTCATGATTCTGGTTTATTTCACTTAACGTTATTGCCTCAAGGTGCACCCATTTTTTACAAATGATTCAAATTTATGTTTGCATACATGTATTTTAAATGCATTTACATATGCTCTATTGGTTATAATCCTACCAGTCTTTGCTATTGCGAAAGGCTGTCGGGACCTGGAGACTCTCAGCACCAAGGTCACCCCCTTGGTCTCAGTGTGCTGGACTGGGAAGCTGGAGTGGGTAGCTCCAGCACCTAAAGCCACTATACTACCACATTTCCCCAAATATAAGACCTAGCTGGAAAACAATCAGCCTTGATAAGTAGAGATCAAAAGTGCCAGCCCCAGTGCCTGCCATCAATATTCTCTTGCTTGGCATCTACTCTGTAAGGCAGGTAAGGCAAGGACAGGCTGGTGGGGGCTGGCATTTCTGGTCTTTAGTTTTCAAGGCTGTTTGTTTTCCAGCTAGGTCTTATTTTCAAGGAAAAGGGTAGACATTACTGTAACCCCTCCCCTTG